GGGCGTCTGATGGGACAGCCAAGCCTGTGATCGGCATAGCTGGGGCACGTGCAGCAAACGCCTCGATGCTGCTGTCGATCCTCGATGATGGCCCTTTTGTGAGCACGCACGATCATCTTTTCCTGCGCATTAGTCTGTCCCTTCGTCGAACGAATGATAGCGCCAGCACCGTTTCGTTTAGCTTGGCGAAGAGAATACCAGTGTCGGATTTGATGTTCGGTCCAGCCTCTATCCAACCAGTATTCCATCGTCTCTGCAGGTATATGCTGACGAGCCAATCCAGGTTTGTTCCAGCCTTTTAAACGCTGTAAATGGCTTTCTGGATATTCTTCTCCTCGATGCGGATCGTCTTGGGGCGGGTTTCCCCGCGTGTTTGGCCCCTCCTTGGGGGGGGCATGCGCTCTTGGCGTCTTCCCAGGCGGGCCACTTGAAGTTCCCGCCTCAGGAGGACGAGGGCGCTGAGCACCGCTCGAACGAGCACCGCCGGAGCGGGCTCGCGCCCGATCTGGTGAGCAGCTAGGGGCTCGACCGCGACGTACCATGCGGCCATCATCTTCCTGGTCGTCCTCGCCGCCCATTGGCGAAAGACTTGGGTCGTCGTGATATTCCTTTTTCCTTATGAAGGGCGCGCGGCTCGGCGATTGCCTCGGGCTGCTAGCGGGCCGATCTGACGCAACAGATGTATACTGAAACTCTTCGTTGTCCGAGCTCATATTGAATGCGTCCAGGTAGGTCACCAGCGTCGCGCGGGCTTCCCCGCAATGGATCATCATCGATTGATTCCGTGTTTGTCGGATTTCCAACCGCCCGACGATAAAGCATGGCATGGACTTCTTCATCCGCTGCAGGAATGGTAGAACCAGAGTCCGCGGGTGTCCCCGCCATGCCAAAATCACCGTCGACGGGCACGTGGAAGTTCTCGAAAAACTCAATATCTGCAGGTTGCCCCGCGATGGGTATACCCAGCCACTCTGCCAAGTCGATATCGCTGTGGCTGGTGAACACCTCTTCGAACAGCTCGTCGGCGTAATTCTCGAGGTTCATGCTGGCACACGCATACCTGGCAGCCATGAAATGAATGACTGTGGCTGAGCCGTCAGCAGGGTCGGCCAAACGCGACTCCCAGTCGACGCACTGTATGTCGGAGTCCGTTTGAGCCAAATGTATTGACGGACCCCTGCCTCTTCCATCGCCTTGGGGGCATTCGCGTCGGAAATGTTGTGAGCTGTGGCATATGTCGCACTCCATAGTTTTACCGTTGGCATCCTTTGGATTCCCTCGTCGCCCTTTCCCTTTGCCTGACGTATGCCTGCGGTTCCTGCCAGCACCTAAAAACATTTCTTCATACTGGGGCCCAGTGAGAGATGCTGGGAATGCTAGTATCCACTACCGTGTAGTCGCCGACGCTTACCTTTACCTTTACTTCGGCCCTTGCCTTTTCCTTCGTGTGTCCGCCGTGCCATACGTCTTACCTTTCTGACTGGTTTCTTCATGAATCTCCGCCAACGACACTTGTGTTTTTGATCGCCAAAAAATAACCACTGAGCTTGCTGCTCTTGAGTAAGGTATGTAGGCATATCAGAACAGTCCAGCGCGGTCGTTTCATCATCAGAAGACGTATCGGTATCGGTACCGGAGTCGAGGTCGGACTCGGCGGGTTGCCCCGCAGAGCCCATTCGGGTCATAGCTTGTGCTGGGGAGACCGCGTCGGGTGGTCCCCTAGATCTGGCCCAGGGGTCTTGAGACCCCGAGGCCGTGCCGCCATTCTGGGCCAACAATGTAGTGGTCTCAGTCGGCGGCATATCATCGTTCCAGACGTTGTTAGCAGGTTGCCCTGCGTTGGCCTCTGTATGGAAGGTCTCGGTTCGGTGTCCGTGACGAAAAATACCACCCATATTGCCAAGGGTTCTCTCAGCTATGTGAGCATATGGCCTCATACGTTCGGGGAGAGCATCAAATTGTGCTTGGTCCCTCGGCACATGGTGGTTCAGAGGCTGCAAGAGTTGCTATGCCCGTGACGTCCCCACTCCCAGAGCTCTGAATAATATTACTGTTAATATCTGGAAGTTGGGGATGTTGAAGCCGGCGGCTTCTGCTTCGTAGCGGGCCATCTCGAACCGTGCTAACGACTGGTCGATTCGTTCCCCCGCATGGACGCGAAAGTCAATGAGAGCCGTGCCAGAGTTAAGTTGGCGTTCCTCTTCTAGGTTCTCGAACTTCGTACTTGAGAGGAACATAATGTAGGTGACGCCGTCGGTGTGGCGACCACCTATGTTGACACCAAAATTGATGACTGCTGGGGGAACTCTCGTGGCCATGGTCCGTGCGAGCCCTCCAAGACCGCGCTGGAGTGCGGCGGCCTGTTGGGAGGGCGTCATGTTGCATGTGGTCACGTTGATCCAGGCGTGTACCTCGCGGACAAACTCGCGGAATGGTATTTGACCAGCAGGATGCCAATGGGGGCCGGTCGTACTAGTGTCGTCTCCGCCCCGCATATGTCCCACCGCACATCCAAGAGCGACCCATATGAACCCACATGTAGTAACCCCAATCCGATGGCCTCGTAGGTCGTAGTCGGGTGTAGTCGGTGGAGACTCGTGTTTTGTCGTCGTAAGTCTGCGAGAGGTCGGAGGCGGCAGTATATCGTATCGCATGTTTCCATGCATTATATCTTCGAAGAAATTTCGAATTGGAGTAGGTGGGTGGATTTCAGGAGTGTAATAGCGCAGGGATGTAGAATATGAGTAAGAGACCTCCGCTGGGGCAGAGGTGTCGCTGCAAGTTTCCTTGCGGTACTGCGTATCTATGTACACTCCTCCGATCTCCTCCGCGCAATGCCACTGCACCCTGATGTTCCGCATTAACTGTAGTCCACCAGATAATGCCGTGGATGGTGAGGAGTAGAGCTAGAACTGACCACCATAGGCCAGCTCCGCTACCAAGTTTGAAAGGGGGCTGGGAGGCCCCGCCAACAGCTTCGCCTCAGGCGAAGCCAAGCTCCAGCTCGGTTGTATCGTAGTAGCGATAGTCCCAATGCAAGAGGGGATGCCATGTCAAGTAAAAGGGGATGCCTTTTAGTATCAATAGCGATAGTGTGCCTCGCGATGAAGCAAAGTCAAATCTGGGCGGCCGGCCGCTTGAGCAAAGACGGCCGCGGGCGCACGCTCGCTTCCGCTCCTTATGTCCCCCAGCTCGCTTTGGAGTTAAGAAGCCTCCAAGACGCCCCAAGAGGCCTCCAAGAGGCCTCCCAAGAGGGCCCCCAAAGGCACAAATCACTGATTTCCATTAGGTTTTTGAAACATGTTGGCCTTCTCGCATCTTCGGCTTTCCAGCGCCCCAAAATGTCCCAAGAAGCCCCCAACACCACCCCAAAACGGCCCAAGAGACCTCCAAGAGGGCCCCAAGACGGCCTAAGAGCGCTCCCGGACGGCCCAAGAGGCGCCCAAGACGGCCCAAGAGGGCCCCAAGGCGGCCCCAGAAGGGGCCCAAGAGAGGGAACACGAACGGAAAATCCGAGCCTTCCGCCCAAAGAAGCCCTCAAGGAGGCCCCAAGAGGCGCCCAAGAGGCCCCATGAGACAGGCCCCAAGAGGCCCCAGGAGGCCCAAAAGAGGCCCCCAAATTGCCCCCAAGAGGCTGCAAAACTGCCTCCAAGAGGCCCCCCACGAGATCCCAACGAACATCCAATCAGCTCCATACCCACAACCCAGGCACGGTGGCGGGATGGGCCGAAGGCCATTCGATAACTGCTCCCTGTCGCATCCCCAGGCGTGTCGGTAGGGCGGGCTGGGCGTTTCGTCTGAGACTTCCTCTTCGCGTGTGATCCTGAAGCTTGAGATTTGCGACAGCTGCATGGAAAGAAGGGGGGATTTTCACAATAGAGCATTCGCTGTAGCGCCGCGTGCGTTCGTCGTGAAACGGTTGCAACAGCTACTAGGATGGAGCGCAGGTGGTCTTCAAAATGGAGTTCCTGCCTTAGCGTCGCGCGCATGTGTTGTAGAAGTTTGCCACTGTTTCAAGGATGGAGTACATGTCGCTTCTTACATGTGGCTCTCGCCTTCGCGACCCACGCATTCGCCAGAACGTGTTGCACAAGTTACACGGGTGGAGAGTGATTCCTTTTTCAAAATGGGGCTCTCACCTTAACCCCGCGCACATTCGCCTTAAACGCTGGCTACAATCCTCAGGACGGAGGACGCTGCATTTTCAGTGGGACTCACGCTTAAGAGTTCTCTTGTTCTCCAAACTCAAGTCTCCAAACACATGGGGCAGCTGGATGAAGGATGGTCCTTGTTCGAAACGGGGATCTCGCTGGACGCCTCGTCGGAGTGTATGATCGTGCAGTGATGCATGTTCGAATTTCTGATGTAGCGCCCGAAGGATGCAAGGCAATCCCTTTTCAAAATGGGGCTCGCGCCTGCATGGGAGGCCCCAGTGGGGCTGGTCTTTTAAAGGGGCGCCTCTTTTAGTGAAGCGGAATGCTTGTATGGGACTTATTGACAAGGGGCTTTGAACGGAGGGTGTATTGCAGCATCGCTGATGCATCTCGTGTTTAATATGGTCCTCCTCCTCCTCCTCCACCTCCTCCTCCTTCTCTTCCTCCTCGTCCCTCCTCTCCTTGCCCCTTCTCTACTCTCCTCCTCCTCCTCCTCCTCCTCCTCCTCCTCCTCCTCCTCCTCTTTTGCGTTGGCCAAACATCAAGCGAGACTCCTCCTCCTCCTCCTCCTCCTCCTCCTTCTCTACTCTCCTCTCCTCTCCTCTTATGTCATTATCCTCTTCCGTCTGTTCTTCCAAAGGTCCCAGGAGGGAGGTTACCAGAAAACCTCGGAGGCTTCCAGACATCTCTGGGCGCTTCCAAAATTTAAAGCGCTGAGAAACCTCGACCCTCGATCCTCTTCCTCCTCCTCATCATCATCATCGTCACCATCATCATGCTCCTCTTCCTCCTCCATGATGCTACTCCTCCCTCCTCCCTCCTCCCTCCTTGCTGGCCGCTGCTCTCCTTGCGCCACGTCACCGTGCTGACCTTCTCGCTCCAGGGCAGCTCCTGGCCGTCCATTTGGGGCAAGCACCGGTGCAACGTCACCTGGCGGCGGCGAGCGGGCTGACGTCGCCGTCGCCGGAGTGGTCGTCGTCGCTGCCGCCGTCTCCAACGTCGCCGCTGTCGTCGGGGCCAATCGCCGGGTTGTCGCCATCGCCGACGTCGCAGCCGCCATCGCCGCCGTCGCGGCCATCGTCGGCACCGTCGTCGCCATCGCCCTTTCCGCAGCCGACGTGCGTCCGTCGGTCGACATCGTGGTCGTGGCCGTCGTCGCCGCCGTCGTCGCCGTCACCTTCGTCGCCGTCGCTCTCGCCGCAGCCGACGTGCGTCCGTCGGTCGACGTCGTGGTCGTGGCAGTCGTCGCCGCCGTCGCCGCCGTCGTCAAGTCGCCGCCGCCGCCGCCGCCGTCGTCGTCGTCGTCGTCGTCGTCGTCGTCGTCGTCGTCGTCGTCGTCGTCGTCGTCGTCGTCGTCGTCGTCGTCGTCCACGTTGCCGCCGTCGCCGTCGCCGCCGTCGTCCCCGCCGATACGGAGTGGTATGCAACCAATCGCCCATGTCCGAGAAGGCTCGACCCCTTCCCTCTCCGTCCCTGATCGAGCCTGTCTACTGGCTCTTCGGAGCCCAGAAAGCAACTTCCACAGTCCGAGGTCAAGGATAGATGCCAGGAGTGGATAGCCATCTCTTCGTCCCAGATCAATTTTGCCTGCTGGCCCCTCGAAGCCCGAGATCGACTTCCAGAGCCCGAGGTCAACGAAAAACGCCACGATTGTCCGGGCTTCTTTCTCGGATAGGGAAGGCCCAGACAACGCCAACCCTCCCGCCTGGCCCACATTCGCTCAAAATCGGCCCATAGACACCTCCCGGGGTCCATCCTGATCCGTTTTCCGAGGCGGATCCAGCCGCGGCAACGAGAAGCCCCCGGGAGGCCCACAGGGGACAACCGTCGGGGAGGGCCACCTTTGTCTCGACTGGCCCTCTTTCCACCTCTCGCCCCCGAGGCGCCAGCATGTGCACGTCGGTGTCTGGGGGGATGTCCCGCTCGCCCTCCACGGCCGCGGGGAGTCCCACGGGGCCCCAGGCCCAGTTGCTCGAGCCGACCACTTCGCACGTGCTGCCCTCGGCCATGTGGCGGAGGCCCATCTCCAGCATCGGCACCGCCTCGCCCTCCCCCACCCGGATCCTCCTCTCGCGGTGGTGCTGCAGCGCCTCCCCGGACGAGTCTCTCCCGGCCCGCACCTCGACGACGACGACGCCGCCGCCGACGACGAGAGTGACGCCGCCGCCGCCGCCGCCGCGCCGCCACCGCCGCCGCCGCCGCCGCCGACGACGACGACGACGACGACGACGACGACGCCGCCGACGCCGACGCCGACGCCGACGCCGCCGCCGCCGCCGCCGCCGCCGCCGACGGCCCGCACCTCGTAGCTGCAGACCACGTCCTGGTTCATCTCGGGATGGGGCCCGCTACCCCGCGTCAGCGTGCGCTTGCGGATCTTCCCTTCCACGGGCCGAGGGGACGCTCTGCGAGGGCGGCGTGCGCGTGTGCGGCCGACTGGGGTGCGCCGGATTTTTTTTCCCGCCGCGGCGCGGCAGGAGGCGATCCGCACGCGCGTCGCGGCGAGACCGGGACACGGCATCGCGAATGAGCCCGCATGCAGGAGGAGAGGAAGCTGGAAACACGCGCGGCCAGATCCCCGTGCGCAGCACGCGGAGGCCACGTGCCGGGTGCACGCGCGGAGGGCTGGCGCACCTGGCCCCCCAGAAGGCCGAGCGCCCCGGAAAGGCGTGCGGCCGCGTGTGTATCCAGCTCTGTCTGCAGCCCGGTGTTGCCACTCGCGCGAGCGGGATTGCCTCTGCGGCACCGCGACGAATAACAAGAAGGGCATCGAGCTCTCGCCCAGGCCGGCCACGCTATGTGTGTCCAGCTTGTTGTCAGAGGGAACAATCCGGAGTCGCTCACTGTTCGAGCCCCGCCGAATGAGCAGACCTTAAGAGGCATTGGCGGATTCATGGTGGGCGCTGCTCAAGCCTCGAAACCGACTCTGCTCAACAACAACGGCGTTCAGATATCTAGGAACCATGCCTCTGCAAACAAACGACTGCCTTGGACTTTCACGCAGCACGTCCACCAGCCACCATCAAACCGAATTCAAACATACTCATGGAGCGGCCCAACGGTTTTCTAAATGACGATGTGCTTAAGGCGACAACGAACACGACACCCACTATCGAGAACGAATGTTGAAAACGAAGCTGGTGCCAAACGAAAACGAACAACGAAACGAGGCCGCCATTGAGCGACAAAACAATAATAAGGTACTGAACTTCGCAGGCAACGCTAGAAACGAAACAAACAACACAACGAAAACCAGGAAGCTCTGGCTGGGGCTGGGGCAGAGGCTGGGATTAAGGCTGAGGCGATGGCCAGGACTGCGAGGCCGAGGCTAGAGACAGAGTTGTAGGGCTGAGGGAAGTGCAAGGGCTGAAGGGCGGAGGCTAGGGTTGAGGGGTAGAGCCGAGGCTAGGGCTTGAAGCCAGGTGCTGACGATGGCCGAGGACGGCTGAGGCTTGCGCTGAGGCCAAGGAGTGCGGCTGGGGCTTCGCGCTGGGGCTAGCTTCGAGGGGCGAGGCGCTGGCTGGGGCGTGGGCCAAGGCTGGCGTTGAGGCCATGGACGAGGCTGCAGCGTGAGGTCGGGGCCAAGGCTGCGGGGCCGAGGCCAAGGTCGAGGCAAGTGCCAAGGCCGGTGCTGGCGGGAGGGGCTGGGGCTGCGTCGGACTGCGACGGCCGAAGCCGGGGCAGGAGCCGAGGCCAGAGCTGCACTCCTACACGTCAAAGATGTCCGGAAATGGAAGTTGAGATCCTTGAGCGCGATGCTTTCGGGCACTTGTCAGAAAGCGCGTTCTTCAATGCTGAGGGGGTGGGGTCAGTTTTTGGACAACGCCGCGTCCGAATCAACAGACATCCGTCGGTATTGGAGTAGCGCTGACCCCACAATCACCGAATACAGAAGTCTTCAGATTATTTTTGCCGAGCCTTGTAGGGCGGGGGCCCAGGCTGATACGAGGGCGAAGGCTGAGGGCTCGGGCAGAGGCTCTGGCTTGCGCTGCTGCCATGGTCTGGGCCACAGGGCAAGCTCAGCCCTCGCCCTCGACCTTGCTTCCCGCGCGTAGCAACATCAAAACCAAGGACTTCCTGGAACACAAACACGAGCGCGAAACAAACAACTAAACGACACCGAAACGATCCGCGAACCGAACAAGAAACGCATTGCGCACCACCAAACCAACAAAAATATAATCGGGGAACGAACCGTCTTTGCTCTACGCTGCGAGCGGCCAGCAGCACGGACGAGAATCACCAACAGTACTTTTCAACGTAACACCAAAACCACAATCGCGTAACACACAATAATAACAACAGAACACAACGACGGCGCGAACCAAACTGCAACGCGAAGAAACGCGCAACGAACGGGGCAACCGAACCGAACAACGAACTGCAACCGTGGAAACACTGCCAAATCAAAAGCGCGACAAGACAAGGATTTTAAGCACCGACCAAACAACACAGCGTTTGAATCGGTCTACGAAAACATTTGCCATTGTTTTTGCGTCCCGCTCTTTCCACCGCTGGGCGGCTCTGGACCGACCGGAGACGCTCCCAACATACTCTCAAAAAACCAGCGGGAGGGTTCTGGAATACGTTCCTTCCCTCTGGGCGCATTTCAAGGTCTCGCAAAACGGCTCAGTTGGCTCCTCGATCTTCCGCAAGCAGCTCCCGCGCAGTCCAAGGCCAACATCTTCATTTAGATAAACTCACACATAGTATCACATGTCTGCAGTGGTCGTGGGACGTTCGATGGCCCAAAATGTTTGAAACAGCACACTTTCCATGGCCCCCCAAGGGGACTCTGGATTCCCACCAGTCCTCTGGGCGCAGGTGGTTTAACGAACTTTGTCTTCTCTCTTCCAATTCTCCCTCTTTCCCCTGCTCGGGAGAGGAGTTTACCACTGCTCCCTATTTATGTGCTCCCCATTCCCCAGGCGACCGGCAGCCAACCAGGAAGAATGCCGACCCTATGATTAGAGAGAGCGTGATCCACCGCCGCTTTACTGTGGAAAATTGCCGCCCTTTTCCTCCGGAACCCGGGGGTACCCCCCCCCCCCTCCGAAAATCCCCCCCCCCCCCTGCTGACCCCCCCCCCCCTTCCCCCTCCCCCGGCAAACCCCCCCCCCTCCCCCCCTAACCCCTCCCCCCCCCCCCCCCTTCCCCTCGAAAACCGGGGGGATCACTACCGGTTCGAACCCCCCCCCCGAAAACCGGAGGGGGGTCACTACCGGTTCGAACCCCTCCCCACCCCCCCCACTCACCGCCAGCAAACGACTCCCGGTCCCTACCACCGTCCGCACCACATCCCCCACTGTTGTTCCCAGCACCACTGTCCTCACCACCACTGTCCCCACTGGTTCCACCACCGTCCCTACTTGTCCCCACCAGTGCCCCACCACTGTCGCACTGTCCCCACTGTCCCCACCACTGTTCCCACCACGGTTCCACTCTCCCCACTTTCTCCACACCCCCAACCACTGCCCGACTATCCCCACTGTCCCCACTGTCCCACTGACTCCTCCGCTGTCCCACTGAACTGTTCCACTGTTCCCACCACTGTCCCCACTGTCCCCACCACTGTCCCCACTGTACCTCTGTCCCATTGTCCCACCGCCGTCCTCGCCACCGCCTTCACCACTGTCCCCACCACCACTGTACCCTCCACTGTCCCACTGTTTCCACCTCATTCCCACTGTCCCCACACCACTATCCCCACCACCACCGTCCCCACCACTGTCCACTGTCCCCACTGTTCCCACCATTGTCCTCACCACTGTCCCCACCACTACCGTCCCCACCACTGTCCCACTATCCCCACCACTGTCCCGCTGTCCCCTCACCACTGTCCCCACCACCACCGTCCCCACACTGTCCGCACCCCCCCTCGGTTTTCGAGGTGGGGGGGTGAGGGGGTTCGAACCGGTAGTGACTCCCCCCGGTTTTCGAGGGAGGGGGGGGGGGGGGGCGAACCGGTAGTGACCCCCCCCCCTTTTCATAATGAAAAGGGGGGGGGGGAGGGGTTCGAACCGGTAGTGACCCCCCCCCCGGTTTTCCGGGAGGGGGGGGGGGAGGGGTTCGAACCGGTAGTGACCCCCCCCCGGTTTTCCGCCAGCAGCGGTAGAACACGCTCTTTCTATGATTACACCCCCCAACCACCCCTATCAAAAAACCGATAGAAACACACTCTGCTTCCAAATTCGGGGCATGCGCAACCAACCCGATGCGGTCCCCCACCATCATCCCTGTCAAAAACAAGAACGTTTGGGCAAAGTCTTTAGTCATGTTCGTGAGGCCCGCGAGCACTTTGTACAGTTTTTTTACAGGGGCGGCGGGGATGTCTGCATACTGCCTTCTGTGCGCAAAGCCACCATCCTGTCAAGAAACACTACAAAATGCACCTCGCGGCTAATTCTGGATCATGCGCGGCCACCCCGCGATCACTGTCAAGTGGTTTTTGACAGGGACGGCGGAGGTGGTGGCGTATGGCATACTGTGCGCAGACACAATCATGGGCAGTGGTTTTCGACAAGGTTGGTGGGGGCAGACATGTTTCCCCATGTGTGCCGTCACGTGCGCAGGCGCACCTGACACGCTCTGCACGTGTCCCGAACGTGGCGCACCTGGCGCGGCTGCAGTATGCGGTACACCTGGCGCACGTGGAGCACGTGGCGCATCTGGCGCACCAGGCGTGCCTGGCACGCTCGGGCCCTAGGGGTGCCTGGCGCGCGTGGCCCTGGCACGCGTGGCGCACCTCGCCCCAACGTCGCGCACATGGGATCGGGTTTGGTTCCCAGTAGCTACCCGTCCAAAGACGACCTCTGAACATGCTGAGTCTCGGGTGTTACTTATGTGTTGGGAGGGCGGGTGGGAGTGAGCTAGACGGCTTGCTATCTAGGAGGGTGTCTTGACCCCTCCCCCTACCTTACCCCTGGGCCCCTGGGCCTGGGAGGGGGGGGCGGGTAGTCAGAGCGTCCAAGATGGCTCCAAGAGGGCATCATAGAGCCCAATATGGACCTCAAGATGGATCAATATAGCCTCCGACACACATCAAAGAGGTCTCAAGACGGCCCCAACACGGTTTCGAGTTACCTCCGATACGACCACCCTGCGGGTGTTAAGGAGGCTGGGGGGTGGGGAGGGTCCCAGCAATGGGCAACAGTTGTGATTGTTGTTGTGACGATGCCAATGGAGAGTGTTGTGTCACTATCGGTTCCACTATCGGTCTCATTTTCGATCTCACTCAATCGATCTCACTGTCGATGTCACCATCGATCTCACACTCGATCTCACCATCGATCTCACACTCGATCATCATCATCATCACCACCACCATCACCATCACCATCACCATCACCATCACCATCGTCATCATCATCATCATCATCATCATCATCATCATCATCATCATCGTCATCATCATCATCATCATCATCATCATCATAATCATCATCATCATCATCATCATCATCATCATCATCATCATCATCATCATCATCATCATGATCATCAGCATCTTCAGCACCATCATCACCATCATCATTTTCACCATCATCATCATCATCACCATCACCATCACCATCAGCCGAATCGTCGTCATAAGCATGATCAACAATTTCATCACCATCACCATCACCATCACCATCATCATCATCACCATT